TAGGTTCTCCCTAAATTAGAAACTGTTGAAATTTTAGATTTCCAAAACCTCTGGTGGCTTTCCTGAGAAGGAACTAGAATGAAAACTATGAAGTATAGCTTTTGGGGCAGTTTTACAGTTGAGTTGGACAGCTAGTTAGACAGTTAGTGCTTGAAATAATATCTTTGCAATACCATTTTTTGAAGGCTGATAGTACATATGATTGTAAGACATTTGATTGACATAGGCTGCTGAAGAAAGACTTGGAAAGCAACATAACAAGGCACTGGGAAGTTATTGTTTTTATTTCTAATGTACATGTATATCAAAAGTTAAAACCTAGAGTATAAATAGTTTTTGAGTTCAACAGTTCTTTGAGAAGTAACTAATAACTTGAGTTTAATGTCTATGGTTTGAAGCAGAATTAAGTTGTATAGAATTTCACAAATATTTTGCTCTGCAATCTGTTTGCACAGTTCAAACTTCACTTGGAAGCCTGTTAGTGCTGTTGTGTGTCATCAAAGCATAAATGACCCATAGCTGAACCTCCAGCAGATTTTCAGAGCAATAATTTGTACAGGAGGAGGAGGTTGCCTCTCCTTCTCTGAAGTCAGTAAGTTTATAGAATTGTTTTCAGTCCAGTGTGTCCTGATAATCTACTCGTATTATAGCGAAGCCGCATCTTGTTATTTTAATGATAAATAATTTTTACACTAAAACTCTGCTATTAGTGCTAAAACCCACTGCAGTGAAGTAAATTCTGACACCCAGGACAAAGTAGAACTCTCCTACCCTCACAGGATTTCTGAAGCTGCACATCTTTCCAGAAAACAGACTACCTAATCTGTCTCTAGTAGAGGTGCTTGTGGCTTCCTTTCAGTTAGCAGTATGCTGTTTAACTACAGTATCACCAGGTCTAATGATGATGATGATGATGATAATGATAATAATAATAATAATAGCTAAAAGGACTTAATTTTGTAATGAACCAGGCTAGGCTCTGTGCTAAGTGTAGTCCATACATCATTACTTAGTATAATTATCATTTGCAGTCTGTTGGGAGCCATAGATTTAGTTACTCCTAAACAGGGTGGATTAACACAATCAATACAACAGTGAGTTTAAGCATGGCACAGATTGGATGGTGCCAGATCAGGCAGGAGTTTTATTTGATCTCTTGTACATAGGGTCAGGTTACTGTGAGACTGAGATAGTGCAGTGGCACCTAACAACAACAACGACAATAACAAAATATTCATTCTAGAACAAGGAAAAATAGTGTATAAGATCTTGAAAAATGTATATTGTTGAAATTTTTCTGTTATCTTGGTTTAATGTTGTCAAGTTTAGGTTCTTGTACGATTTTCAGCATTTTGTAATGGTTTTTCATTTTGGTTTGAAATAGGAAAATATGCATAGCAACATTTGAATATTAATCATCATAATGCTGACTAGAATATGCCCTTTTTAGCTCCTTATCCTTTATTTCAGTCTTGTCAAGATTATTTTAATCTTGACTAAAAATGTTCAAGTATTTTTGCAAAGTTTTAAACATTAGTTTCTTGGAGGTACTAATTTGATACAGATTTATTTAAAGTAAATTTTGCTATAAGTGAAATGATCCAACAGATCAGGTAGATGTCTTTAAATTTTATATTTTTCTTTATTGGTATCAATGACCAATTTTTTTTTCTTTTTTTCTTTTTTTTTTTAATGACCAATTTTTTAATGTTCTAAATTTATAGCCTTTGAGTTGTGATACTGGAGAAGGGTGTTGACTATACCATGGACTGCCACAAGAACAAACAGGTTTTCCCTAGAGAGCACAAAACCAGGTTGCTCCTTTGAGGCAAGGATTCTGAGGTTTCATCTGACATACTGTGGGCATGTTGCAAGGAGGAACCAGTCCTTGGAGAGAGTCATCATGCTTAGAAGGGTGGAGGGACAGTACAAAAGAGGAAGACCATCAATGAGATGGATTGATTTAGTGACTGGGATAATGAGGGTAGGTGTGTCAGACAGTAAGGTTGTCACAGGATACAACAGGTTTCAGGGCTATTGTATACAGGGTTGCTGTGAGTCGCAAGCAACTCAAAGGCACATAACAACAACAAATTTATAGCTGTAAAAATTAAACAATGACCATTAAGTAAAGAACAAAAGTGTTGTTTTGTTATTATTAACCATCTTCTTAATTACTTGTTAAATAACTGCCCAAGCAAGGCACTTTAATTTTATTTGTTGTTCTTTGTGGCTGTTAATAATAGTGCTCAAAAAAGTTATTCTAGTTTTATTATAGAAGTTATGTACACATTTGAAGGATGCTTATTAGATAGATTTGAAAGTAGTTTAAATATATTAATTACAGTTTTAGAAACAGTTTGAGATGAACAAAAGATTGAATAAAAGACCTTTAAAAGCATTTCGAGACATGTTGGAGAATCCTGGGGGAGAGCTGGTGGCGCAATAGATAAGAGCTAACTCTGAGATTGACGGGCTCCGACTCACCAGTCGCCATGGGAAGATGTGGAAATTTACGTCTATAAAGAGAGGCAGTCTTGGAATCCTAATGGTTCACTTTCTCCTGTAGAGTCACTGTGAGTCAAAATGGACTCCATAGTAAATTAATTTGGAAAACTCTACATGAAGCAGGAAAAAAAAACCCAAAAACTCAATCGAAATTAGATTTAATTTCTGTTTTATGTCATCTTGCCCTCACTAAGCTTCATATCCTTGTTTTATTGAAAGATAATCATTTTAGAAACAATTTTTTTTTAAATCTGTGTTTTGCCTTTCACAGTACATTTACTCAGAGCTGACCATTTTTGTTCCTGTAAAAATTGATTGAAATGTTATAAGCAAATACCTGTTTTTCATTATTTAGTTAGCATATTTTGTGAGCAGTGTTATATGAACAGAGAACACATGGTAAGCAGATAGATATGGTCTTGATTTCCTGGGGATTATCATCTAGATGGGAAGACATGAATCTTCTATTTGAACTGTGTTCTGTGCAGTGATGAAAAGTACAGAATGCTATAGAGCATACAAGAGGAGAGTGTGCTTTAGTTTGGTTGGTGGGGGGGATGGTCCACGAAATGTGATCTTTGAGCTGAGGTCTCTATGTGCAAATAGAGGGCAGTATGTATTCCAGGTCAAAGGAATTATAGATAGGCCTCAGAGCAGAGTAATGTTTTTCAGGCTGTGAAGTCATTACCTATTATGAATGTGAAATGTTTGTGGCAATCAGCATTTTAAAAAGTGAAGTGAATATAACATTAGGATGGCTGTGGGGAGGAGGGGAAAGCAGGAAAAGAATGAGTAGATAATAAACACT